CCGTCGCGTCTGCTCGCCCAGGATACCGACGTCGCGGACGCCCATCACCATCACGCGCCTCCCGATCCCCGCCGTGTCGAAACCCTAACCCACCTTCAACCGGGGCCCGTGGATTATCTCCATCAGCGAACGGGTTTTCTAGGGTTATGGTCTCTTCTGAATCCTCGCCGGTCGGCAGAGGTGGTGACCGTCGGCGGGGCGCCCCGCCAAGTCCTCGGCCGCCACGACCTCCCCGCTGTCCCACGCGATTGCTCCGGTCAGCCCCATCGCGGTTTCGACGCATCTCGTCCATCATTGTACGCATTGTCAGTCGCATTTCCTCGAACCCCGATGATAGGTACGTAAATCGTTCGTCAAATCCATCAAAACGTTCATCAATCTTATGAAATCGTTCATCGATGGAATTGTCGATTACGACCTTGTCCTTTTTCGGCGGCATCGCGGATCATCGGCTGGTCTGCTGATACCAACTGATGTAGAGGATGTATTCGAAAGGGAAATAAGAACACAAGAACAGATTTCTTTTCTCAGAATAATACGATAATGAAAAACAACTGTTCAGGGAGTGGGTACATATAGGAAGAGCCCACTACTCTTCAACTTCCTAATTACTTAATTAACTGCTCCAATAATAAAATAACATAAATAAAAACCATAATAACTAATAAACTGATAACTGATAAAACCGGAAAATAAATAGCCTAAGCCCGAAGACGGTCATATTTCTGCAGAAACGCCAAAGCGGCCTCGTCTCCATCAGAGGACCAACTCTGAAACTGCCCAACACCAACTCGGTGGCCTAGCGAAGTTCAAATCCAAGCCTCGGAACATTACCCAAGCCAACTCACAACACAACCACAACATCCAAATAGCCGAGGAACCGGCACCAGACCGAACCCTCTAACACCACTAGCGGAGTTCGACGGTGCTCGACCCGCCTTCTAGAGACTTACACGAGAGAAAAGAGGGAGCAGAGCTAAGGATGTCAGTGTCCGCTGCTCCGACCCCCAAACCGTAAAATGTAATATGTTGATTATATAACTTATGAACTGAACTGCGGATTCAAACCTTAAATGTGCCAGATCCCAGTAGCCCACTTCGGCTGTTGTCTAAGACTCAAGATCCACATTTAGGGCTTAGGACGAGAAAGACATCTTTTACACTAACTTTTTACCTAATTGATATATTTATATTGTTAAACATTATATTTTTATTTATAATCTTTTATAAAAATATTATATTGCGCTCACTTCGCCCCATTTCTTCCTATTCCATTGCCCTGCTGCGGATTCTTCCATCAATTCGATTATGGGCATGCCCTGGCTAGCAGGTACTACGAGTCCTCTGCCCCACGCATCTAACCAGCTCGCGTGGTCCATCAATTTTAGATAGGATCTTTCTACTTGTTTGGACAGTATTAGACATAGTGGTAACAACGATAGTGTGTACAATGTTGATGCGGAAAGAGTCTTCTATTCGAAGGGCTATTTGAAGGAATGAGTATAGCTACCGTCTATCACGACAAGTAAATGTATATTCTAGGGCTCAGTTCGCTAGTATTCTCTTAGCTATAATCTGTTGCTACTATTTCAACAAAATGTCGTTATCTATTTTTGGTTATAAATTCCTAGAAGCCAAAAATCTGATCGAACAATTAGAAGCCAAAAAGCGCACGGGGAATCGTTTACGGGATTTGTTTAGTGGGAAGAAGATGGCTTCTTATTTGAACTAGAACATAGTATAAAGCTATTGGCTGCCTAGTTGTAGGTTCGATATAATTGACCTCTTTCATCTCTCAGGAATAAGAGGAAAGATCAGATGGGAGGAGGTTCATTGTAGAATCCAAAAAAAATAGGTAGCGTATATTTTTAAAATGCATCGTTGTTTAATTGTTAGTTGCGTAACATCACTACTTGGGCTAGGGACAAGTTGTTTATTATACAAATGTCATATTTTTTTAAAAAAAATATTATAAATAAAATATAACATTT